GCATGAACTTTCGTGCAATAGTTCGCAGTGTGCAGTAATATGCTGCGAACTTTTGAGCGATTATTCGTTCTACTCGAAAGTTCAAAGCGAAATTTCAAGCAAAAACTCGTGCAGTTTCATGCAAAGTTCGCTGTGATGTAAATAGGAATCATCCTTCTCGATGTTGTGTTGTCACGGCCTGAAACATAAGCTCGATTACCAGTCGCTGTTCGGGAAAGGAGCTCAAGAGAGTGGCAGAAATCGAGCCTACCTGAAACACAGTCGGGACGTGTTTACAGATTTAAATTCAGTGTTAAATCGAGCAACTTCTCTTTAAAACTCACCTTGTTAGTCAACAAGGAAAAATTTGCAGGCGGTATCATTCCAAAGAGTTGACACTCGCTCGAGAAGCTGCCGAGAACGACATATACGTTGTGTAATAACACACGAGGTTTCACACTGTAGTCCTAGTCCCTGCACGGGTTTGTTATTATAGCTACCATAGCAACGCTTTGGGTATCATAGAACAGACAACAGGTTTCGTGTTCATTTGCCTTCAAGCACTCGAATAGATCATGCCAAAAGTATCAGATTATACAAGAACTTGAATCAAGGTCCTTGACAAACAAGGTCTCACCCCAGTCCTTGAAGAATGAAGGTTTGAGTGCTAGTCTCGCTAGCGTTACTCGAATCATTAAGAAACTACGAATTACAGGCTCCGTGGCAAATTTACCGCGTTCTGGAAGACCTAAAAAGCTGTCTGAGGACGCAAAAGCTTTCATTGATCAGCAAATGCAAAAAAATGATGAGATGACAAGCAGCCAGATCCAGAAGAAGCTGGAGAAATACGGAATTTCCGTATGTTCAGCCACTGTGCGAAGAACGAGAAAGAAGCTTGGTTGAACTCTGCAGAAGATGGCATATTGTCAGCTCATCCGAGCCCCAAACAAATAGTGAAAGTGTAATGTTTTCGATAATTGAATGGTGTGTGAAATGGCTTTGTGGAGTTTTCTTTTTCAACAATATAGAGTAACTTATTATTTGTAATATTGAAAAAATAGTTTTTTTCTAGAACTTTTCAGATAAGAAAAAAGTTAACTGTAATGTAGTCATAGGACACGAAAAGTTTTGCAATGTTTTCCAGATGAGTAATAAAGATAATTGTATTTATATTGTTAATGTTGTGCTAGGATAAGATAAGTTCTGTGCTTTTCTGATATTAAGTCATAACAGTGTAAAACTGCAATACCGCGGTAGAACTAGTATGATCAGAAATGAAAGTTAATTGTTCAGTAGTTATATTGTTAGCTCAATTATAATTTACCCGATGTAACACCTGTTAATAAATTGTAAAAAAATCTCTGTGACTACATGTACTGCAATGCATACCAGGGGACATTACCATTTAAGAACTTGTACTATTGACATTCTTACATGCAAATATTACAGCTTACCAGAACTGCTTTCAGTAATAATGATTGGAACATACAAAAGAATCAGGCTTCTCTCTTCAGAATACGGACAGTTTTCTTTTGTTTAGATTTAAAATGGACTTTAGGCTACAATGCACATGTAATAAGACTGTCCACAGTCGAAAAATGCGACCTTATTTTTGAATCTTGACTTAAATTTATTGTTGGTTTGTAGCCTTAGAAAAAAAACCCAAAGCCACGCATTCACAAACGACACAAGTATGTGAATGCAGAAGTAATTCCGGCAGTCACTTTGTCTCCGCTACCTCGTCAGCAGAGACAAAGCGACNACATGCAGTCCTCAACTGCCTATTGTATATATTTTTAAACTTGGTCATATCTCATTGTTGCATTTTGCAGACTGAACGAAACTTCATTATGCAAGTTGTTTGTGAAGCTACACAAAGCACAGAAACTCAGGTGAGTGACGAGATGCTGTTTCCTACTCACATGATTTGATATGTTTTCCTTTCTCAGGGTGCGGGAGGGAGGCAGTAGCCTCATGGTTAGTGCGCTTGACTCCAGAGCAAGTGGTCCAGGTTTGACCCCTGGCTGGGGATATTGTGTTGTGTTCTTGGGCAAGACACTACTCTCACAGTGGCTTTCTCCACCCAGGTGTATAAATGGGTACCGGCAAATTTAATACTGGGGGTAACCCTGAGATGGACTTGCATTCCATCCAGGGGGGAGTAAAACTACTCCTTGTCTCTTTGTGCTACTGAAACCAGGATTAGCTCCGGTCTGATAAGCCACTTGGCTCATATGCAGACTTTATCTATCTCAGGGCAAGTGATAATAACAATAAACATATTAACCTTGTTTTCTTGGTTTACACTATGGATCCTCGTATTTTCCTGTCAATTTGTTGCACCCAGTCTTAATCTTATGGACCAGACCTCAGACTTGATTACAGCTATACCCTAAAATTCCACTGAGAAAACAGGGCTGTCATTAAGTTTTGATTCACCTGTAGCCTTGAGCTTCACATACATAGCAAACTTGTTTCTTTTTGGGTGATTTGTATCAAATTCACCCATAACATCAAGGCGGTTAGGGGCCCATCAAACGTACTTAGCCTTAGCAGCTGTTATGGGTTACAACCCTTATTGACAGCCCTGAAAAAAAGCTCTGTTTGTCAAGGCCCCTTTAATATCAACACCCTTTTAATACAGCCAGATGGCTTTCACAGATTTTTAATCTTTTCTTCCAAACCAGAACATAGGCACTTAGTATTTCTTCTTTTCCCTTTTGGTAAACAGCTCAAAGTTTCAGCCTTGCAGAACCTTGTGAAGATAATGTCTCTCTATTATCAGCACATGGAAGAATACATGGGGAGAGCACTGTTTCCTGTAAGTCTACCAGGCTTGAGTGTGTTAATGTGGTAATGCAGGATCAATCAGCTAGGAAATATGAGGGCTGACAACAATTTGCAGAACTGTGATTGGACATTTGTTGGTTTTGTCTAAAACCTCTTTTACCCTCTAAGCAGACTAAACTTGGAGGAGAATCTAGTTTTTGTTATCCCACAAGATTTGTAAGTCGAGTGAGGGGACTCTTCCCCTCAGCTAAACATTTTAGACACAGTAATAAAGTTTTTATTTATTTATTATTCATTATAAAGGTTGGAACTAACTGCTTGATGATTCCTAATAAGCTTTTTATGATCTATCAAAATTCTAACTTGGCACCAAGGTTACGGGAGAATAAAACGAAAGAAATCACATCAAGGTTAAGGAATGGATAAAGGATTTCTTTTGTTTTATTCCCCAAAGCCTCAGCACAAAATTTAAAATTTTACAAATTTGAATTGGCCTATTGATCTAAGCTTTAAGATGGCGATGGTGCAATTGAGGCAAGAACTCTTGCCACTGGCCCATTATGATGTGTTCTTTGGCAAAACACTTTTCTCTCACAGTGCCTCTCTCCACCCAGAACCCAGCTGTTCAAAACATTATTAAGTAGGATTTAAGACTTTTCACTGAGATTTTGTGCTTTTATCTTCTGTCCTCCACTTTTGATGTCAACTAAAATCCAAAAAAGATTTTTCCAGAACATTTGAAAAACAATTAAAACATTGATGAAGTTCTGGATGGGTGTTAACTGTTTTTTTTTAAAAACCCTGCCCAGGTGTGAAAACAAACTTGTCATGGACTAATGCCTTTTTTTCCTCTTGTAGATTTCCATTGCTGCAATCAAATCTGATATTGATGAAGTTGCTCTTCAAGGTATTGAGTTCTGGTCTTCAGTGTGTGACGAGGAAATGGACTTAGCAATTGAAGCTGTGGAGGCATGTGGTTTGCATCTTCAATTTTTAGATCACTGAAGTACAATTGAATAGGCATCACTCTTTGCTCACTCAGTTTTGTACTATTTAAAACCAAACAATAATATTCAAACAGCATGAAGTGTACGCTGGAGAAATGTTGGTCAATAATTTGTACTGAATGCAAACAGATAACCAAGATGGATAGCTGAAATAATTTTATTCCATGCCATAGAAAATACAGCCAATCCAAATACAGGAAAGCCGTTGTATATTCGACAGTATTACATCCAACTTTACCATCATGCACCATGTCTGTGTCGCATTGATTGTGTGGGCCACTGTATTTTCTATGACCTCGTGTAAAATAGTTATGTGGTATACCATGCAATGTCCCACTTGTCACTTGCATTTTCTTGGTATGCACACTTTCTTAAAGGCTTGCATGTATACTTGGAAAATGCAACTAACTTGTGGAATATTGCATGATATACCGCTCAAAAGCATTGCATAACTTGTATGTGCTGGAGAAATAATTACTGTTGAATTTGATTTTCACTGTAATTGTTATCATGCAAAATAGTTCCCCCCCTGTTTGCACAACACTAGCTACCAAATTAGTAGTTCCTGTTTGGAAAATGTAGTCACTTCAAGGATTTCACTCCCTGCATGTGGCACACAAAATGGTCTCAGACTGGAGTGCTTCTTTAAGCAAAAACCAATCTCAAATAGAAAATTTCCAGGTTGACACTTTGGCTTATACTTCTCCTCTCCCTCTAAAATTTTGTGGATGGTTTCACTTTCAGTTTCTAGAATTGTAGTTATAGTGTAATTTTAAGTTGTATTGTATGTAGGTCTGCACAAATGAAGAGCTACTCTGTGGATGTTTTGTGAATAAACCATTATTATCATTGCCACTATCACTACAGTATTGTGAAAAAGTAATGCAAACGAACTTCGGCGAAATTCGCGCTTTTCGTGGCTTTTCAAGGAAATTTCGCTTGAAAAGAAATCTCTTCGACAATTTGCGATATTTCGCAGCATTTTCGTGATATCTATTGTTTCAATCCGCATGAACTTTCGTGCAATAGTTCGCAGTGTGCAGTAATATGCTGCGAACTTTTGAGCGATTATTCGTTCTACTCGAAAGTTCAAAGCGAAATTTCAAGCAAAAACTCGTGNAGACAAAGCGACAGCCGGATATACGTCCACGTACAGCTGTAAGGGAACTGGGTCGAATAAACACAAGGACATTGTTCTGAGCAATCGGCATCTACTCAAAATGTTCATCATTGTGAAAGCATTCATAGCAGACCTTCACGCATTAGAATTTGGGCTTTATCAGATCATTTTGCTTTAGCGGATTAACACAACGAACTGCTGATGTTTTCGTTTTTATGTGGAACAAACAGAGCTTGTCGACTTTACAAGAATGGTAAGTGTTGGTCTTGTGTGTTGGCAGCACCGTATCTCAACTCAGAGTCAGTGAACTTGTTTTAAAAGATTTCGCACATATCATGTGTAACCTTTCACGGTGTAGCTGCACGTTTTATCCGGTCAGTGATTGATACGTACTATTTGTAAGGTATAAGCTTCGATTCATGGCGCAGTTTAGAACAATAAACAATGATATATTTCGTGTAAGTTACATGACCATTTGAACGTATCGATCACATAGAGGAGTTCACAAGAAGGCTACTGAACTATTGTTGAATGTCTAGCAAAATTTTGTGTCCTGGCTAGCAAAATAACGTGATTTGTCGGTGAGGCAACGAAACTTCAAGGAAAAATCGCTCCTTGTTCTAGCGAAATGTCGCGAAGTTCAGCTCTAACTTTTGCGTGAAGTTTCGCGTGAAAAATTGGGAAAACAAAGAATGAAATTCGTGCATTTCGCTTGCATTACTTTTTCACAATACTGTATTACTATCACTGTCATTGTCATTATCATTGTCATCATCATCACTTTGTTTTGGATAGGCAGCAGAAGCTAAAAGGGAACCAGAACAGACAAGCAGGCATTATGCCAAAGGCGCATTACCTTTCATTACCCCTCTACTGACTGCTTGCCTCACAAGACAGGTCAGTACAATTAATATGTATGGAATTTATAATAGGGTTGCAGGTAAAAGAGAACATTTGAACCTCTTTTACTGCCATTTCTTGTTAGCAACCACTGTCTTTTCCTCATGGAAACTTTAGTATAGCTGCCAATATGGCTTGAGTTACCTGTGGCCTCGATCATGATTTTCTCACCTGTAAAAGACTTGTTGCTTTGTGTGTGAATTATTATCGGTAACAGGGAGGTTCACCCACAGAATTCCTGTCAAGGGTCTTCAGCCAAGGCAGGTGTTATGGGTAAAAGCTCTTCATGACAGTCTTTTTCTCCTTGGCTCAGTCAGCTCCATTAGTCATCAAAATGGAGTGTGCATGCATTTTGAATGGATTGTGCCTCTGAAAAGCTACATGCAGGCAATTTACAGCCAACTGTATTTTTATTTGTCATAACCATGAAAGCACCGACCATACATTTTTAAGCGTTTTCATCGGTTTGACAGTTTGACATTAAGTTTTGAGTGGCCTCTACCTGTGTTCTCCACACCCCTTGACACCCCTTGCAGACTTGTTACTTTGTGGTTGAATTCTTTCAACAACAGGCAATTTCACCTGTAGCATCAAGGTAAAATTTTAATTGAGTTAACTTCCAGTTTAACTTCAATTGAAAATCAAGCAATGCTCTGCCACTATCCATTTTTGAACAAAAGCTTCTCCTCTTTGAAAGCAAAAACTCACAAATGTGCTTTGCAAATTCCTGCAAAAACAGGGCTCAAAATTAACTTTTTTGTTCGGGAGCCAGCTGGCAACTAACAGAAAAATTTTGGTTGCCAGATCGTAAATTTTGGTCGCCAACTCATTTTATATATAACTTACACAAGAACTCAATTTTATATGTTACTTTGCATGCAAGAACAGTCACAATTGAAGAGCGAAAACAATTAGAAACAACACGAGTAACACTTAGTTATAAAGCTACCGTTGTTCTCAGGTGATATGTCTCTGCTCCGAAGGTGATGGTTGTCTCCACAGTCATTTTAAATGAAACGAGGCATAAAACGTTTTAAGTGTGTGGTTTTTGTGAGACAAACACAAGTCCTTGCGTATTTTCCCTTTGCTACTTCTTCAAAATGCCGTTCTTTATTTTGTACTTGCTTTCCTTGACACCTTTCGCTCATGTAATTCTTCAACTGATTGGTATCTGCCGCCATTTTTGCGGCAAATGAAAAGCACATGGCGTTGAAGCGCACCTGCGCTCCCAGTTTTGGAAGAAGCCGCTGAAACAATATGGCGCGCCGTGAACGCAGTATCGAGGTGTCAAAGTACATTAAATTTTTTCAATTATCGTGTAATAATCACATTATTTTACTGGGGACGGAAAGGTGAGTTGTATACTAACTACCATATCTGATTGATTTCCTAATATAAAGATTTAAAAACAAAAGTTGTGTCGTGGTTTTCTTTAGTTATTGGACAAAACGCGAGTCGCCAGCTGGCGACCAGTTCTGAAAATTTAGTCGCCAGTGGTCAATTTTTGGTCGCATTGGCGACCAGTGAGTCGCAATTTCGAGCCCTGAAAAAGCTGTTTGTAAATTTTGTCGCAGGAGGAATATGATGATGAGGATGACTGGAATCCATGCAAAGCCGCTGGTGTATGCCTAATGCTGTTGGCCCAGTGTTGTGAAAATGATGTGATACCTTTTGTGACAGACTTTATAATGGGAAACATTAAAAACCCAGAGTGGAAAAACAGAGATGCGGCTGTTATGGCGTTTGGTGAGTGTATTTTAACTTAAAATCACTGTAAGTGCTACAATTAATTAAGCGAAAAAAATCAATAACAAGACTGTATCAGTAAGAGTTTTTAAAACAATTCTTGTGAAAAATTATGGATATTAACAACAGACATTTCAACCGCTCTTTGGTCATTCTCAAGTTCAATGTTGAGGGTTGAAAATGACTGAGAGAGGTCGAAATGCTGTTTTTTCTTTTTTACCCATGATTTTTACCGTGAACAACAAAACTGACAGCACTTTTTTCAAGCCCTGCTGCAGTCTTGTTGTTTTTTTTAATGTGGACTGATAGCACAATTTTATATTTCAGGTGCAATATTGGAAGGACCTGATCCCAAAGCTTTGCAGCCATATGCTGCGGTGGTAAGGCACCTTTCCAATACTGTCAAGTTGTTGAGTATTAAATCTTTCAGGAACTTTTCCTTTAGGAGTGGTTAATCAGGTATCTAGAGAATTTTGGGTTGCAGAAACTTTTGATCCAAACTAGAAATCTCAGAGGCCTATCTGATGAGTCATTTCTCTCTTCTTTCACAGCCAAAAATTGTTTTAGTCTCACTCAAACATGTTGGTGACTCTCAGGTTATATCAGCGCAGGGCACCATTTCTTTTTATGAGGGTGTTTATTTTGATACAGATGTAAAATTTCTTTGCAGGCCACACCAATGCTAATAAACTTAATGGGAGATGAATCCGTTGTTGTACGAGATTCTGTGGCTTGGACACTTGGTCGTATATGTGAGATATTACCCCAAGTTGTTATTGAAAATAACCTCCAACTCCTGGTTGAAACTTTGTTAACTTCACTTGAAGCAGAACCGCGAGTTGCTGCTAATGTCTGCTGGGTAAGTCACTTGACGCACATGTTTTGAAAAAGGGGTCACTAGTTCATGATCGATTCTGTAATGTGTCACTCTCTTAAAATAAAGTTGTTACTTACTTACTTACTTACTTACTTACTTACTTACTTACTTACTTACTTACTTACTTACTTACTTACTTACTTACTTACTTACTTACTTACTTACTTACTGAACAACTGACTGACCGACCCACCGACCGACCCACCCACCCACCGACTATTAACTGATATGAATAGAATGTGAAAACTTGATGACTGAGTTTGTAAAATGGTAAATAAAGCAGAGACATTAAATAACTAATTGAGACTTGTGTTGTTGTTAGGCGTTCAACTCTCTTGGAGAAGCAGCATATGACGCTGCACAGGTGTCTGAAGATGAAGAGGAACCGCAGACATATGCGTTGTCAACTTGGTTTCAACAGATTGTAGGAAAGCTTCTTGAGGTCACAGATAGGTATGAAATGCTGAACAAATTGTATGTTATTGCACCTTTTAGTTAAAGATCTCATTAATTTTTGGGTTGGGCACTGCACAAACGGACTGACTGTGAAAGCTTAATTTTGCTTGCCTTCAATTTTTTTTTTGTATCAAGACGTTCAATTTAAAAACATTTGCCTACCTTTGAAAACCAGTTTCCTCAATGCTGACAACCTTAATGAGACCGTTGCTTTCAATAGCATGTAATAATAATAGAACCTTGTGTTTTATGCTGCAGCCAAATTCAAAAGGTTGCGATTGATGAATTTTAAACAATTTTTGTTCAAATTCTCAGGGGTTTTGTTAATGTTCTCAGCAGGAGGGTAATATACCTGGTGCTTGGCCATCAATGAAACCCCTGAATTTTGCTGCCATAAATGCTGCATCCTTTGATGAGTAAATAGTTGTGTCCTATAACCTTCCTACTTCTTTCTTTCCTCCAGGTGTGATGCTAATCAAGGAAATCTTAGAAGTTCAGCTTATGAAGCTGTAATGGAGTTGATTAAGAACAGTGCAAAGGTACCCAGTTTTGCCTCCCTAAAAACAGTGCTTGTTTCTTAGCTCAGCCTGATAAAAACTGAGTACATGAAAAAAATATATGTACGGGTCTGACAGTGACCACAAACTAAAACCTTGTGTACAGTGTGGGATTTGAAGTTCCAGATAGGAGCATGACTTTCCTAAAAGTTCCTCCAGCCATGACTAGTTGTCATACATTTGTTAACATTTTTTTTTTTTTTTGGTTTTTGTAACAAGTGTTGGAATTAAAGAGTAAATAGCTAAAGGTTGTAATTTGTTTTTCTTTTTTTTTTTGTTTTTGTTTTTTCTTGTAGGACTGTTATGAAGTTGTTCAAAAAACAACACTGGTCATTCTTCAACGGCTGCAGCATGTGTTACAGATGGAGGTGGGCTCATTGTCTGATTATTTCATTAAATCCAAGAATTATGATTAAAATTTTCCTTGTGTTGTGATTCAAATTTATAAAGATATTTTGTCATTGTTTTTGTAGAAAAGTGTATCAGACAGAGCCCAGTATAATGACTTGCAATCCCTTTTATGTGCCACACTACAGGTATGTAGTTGTCTCGAAATAATTAAATATTGACTTTTTGATTTTCCTTAAAGTCATAGAATGGCAACTTAACCAAGAGTGTAGATGAAATTCAATGATTCTTTGGTAGTTAAACCCATTATGTTCTTGTGCTCTGTTATTTGTTCATGACACTTGCCCTCTATTTTCCAATCCTCTCTAAATCTTTTCATGGGTGCAAAAATTTGTAATTGTTTATTACAAAAATTGTTCAGCCAACCTGACAAGAATTTGTTTGGGACAACAGTGGTGTGCTATTGACTAGCATCTATTCCGGGGAGATTAGTTACACACTTAGTCAATTTGTTTTGTAAAAATACACTGCATCATTCATGCTTCCCATCGTAAGGTTGAAAAAGACTTAAGGCTGGAGCACATGGTACAACATTGTGCTTGAAATTACTTGGAATGCCCAAATAGGCCTGTTCTGGTTTACCTTGTGCCTCTGTTTCACAACGCGTCTCTGGGCAAAACCTTTCTGAAAATCTCCCTCTACTTCTGCGAGGCACAATAATTCCAGGGGTGGACACACAAAGGGAAAATGTTGCATCAAGTATTGCCCAAAGAGTTGCACCTTGTCATCAAGCCTTAAAACCTCAATGTTACCAGTGTCATTCATCATGTCCATTTGTTGTTCTTACAGAGTGTGCTAAGAAAAGTCAACGCTCAAGATGCCCAGCAGATTGCTAGACCAATCATGGATGCTTTACTGCAGATGCTTGGCTTGGGTGGGGCATCAGTGAGCGGAGTACAGGAAGATGCACTAATGGCTATAGGCACACTTGTAGAGGGTTTGTACATTAATAAAGTAATATTTTTCTTGTTCAGTTTAGAAATACAGCAAGCAACCACCTGTAAGAACAGATGTTTCCAAGTTAGGCTACAAGTTATGTTCTTATATGTGTGGTGTCTGATGTCAATTTATGCCATTTGGGTTCTAAATAGGTTCTTATTTTCCCTAGTGAAAAACACACTCGCTGCTGGTTCAAATGGGTGTGGTCCCTCATTGTGTATGAAAAAACACATAATTGTTAATTATATTTATGTCTAAAACGTAAGACTACATTCAAAGTAAATTTGAATGAAGCCCTTACAGGAGACCATTCTGTGTGTGGCAGGCTCTTTATTTGACCCCTAAAAGATACCACTTAAAACGGAAATGACAGCACTTTTGTTTATTATTTCTCTGAGAACACCCTAATAGACACTTTAACAGCTAAACTTAGTGGCATTTCGTCCTGATCACTCCAAGTGAGACCAAAATCCTTGATTTACACCCTAAAGCGAGGTGATGAGCACCACAGCCTTTTCATATGGGATCCCCTATGTATAGCCTGACAGAAAACTGCTGACAGGATTTTCATTACAGGCCACCTTTAAGTCATAGATGAATGGTAACATCTCAAACCTCAATCATGTCCACATATTTTTTTTTCTCCATTTGTAGTTGTTGGAGATAACTTCATAACTTACTTAGAGCCATTCAAGCCGTACTTAATACAAGCACTCCGAGAGCGAGGTGAATACCAGGTAAGGTAACAGGAAAAGAGATGAAATCATTCATTTTATTGCCCAGGGAAGGCACTCCCAAAATGTTTGGTAGGGGTGTGCAGCCCTAATCTGGAAACCCTCACCCTATTTCAGAGCAAAATCTATGTTTTTCCATATCCTGTTTCTGACCGTGCGCCAAAAATCGATACCCCATTTCAGACCTCTAAAGTTAGTACACGGCCTTGATATTTGACCGCAGCTAACCAGAAATGACTGCCGTTTGCATGAACATTTGAGAAGGCTACAAATTTGCCAATGTTGATGCTGAACAAAAAAATTGTTTCTTGTAAATAAGATACTCAATGTCAAACCAGAGTGAAAAGCGTACCCTATTTCAGACCAAAATGGTCAAAATCTATGCCCATTTTTAGACAGCTCAAAAACCATACCCTTTGAGGCCGCACACACTGTAGTTCTCAAGACTGCTTACGTATAAGACGTAAGTGTGATTCCTTTGAGTTGTTCAGCTGATCTTTGGAAAAATTACCATAATTTGTAGTGGCTTGTTCAAATGTTGAGTACTGTTTCACATGGCATGCAAACGTTGAGTGGTTAAAGTGTTTCATTTCTTATTATTCTGTGACTTTGCACTGTAGGTGTGTGTTGCTGCTGTTGGATTGGTAGGAGACATTGCAAGAGCCTTAGGATCAAACATATTGACCCACTGTGATCATTTTATGCAAATTTTATTGGAAAATTTGGCGGTGAGTAGCACAGGTGACCCAAGTTCAGTACGTGACTGTTGCTTTAATAGTATGCTTGATTGCCAGCCGCTGTCCGGTAGACTCGAGACAGTGGCGAAAAATGAAACTTTGATGTTACGCAACGAATGCTTTAGAGACTTTGTATGGGGAATTTTTTTTAGTCCAAAATTCTGCAAACTGCCTCTTAAGCGCAGATAACAAAAAGATCAAAGAAAATCAAAGATCGCAAATAGCAAAAAGTTCTGCGATCATCTGCGATACGTCTGCGATCCTGCGATCGTGACCGCAGACGATCGCAGACGATCGCAGTAGACAGAACCATGTTCTATCTTCTGCGATCATCTGCGATCGTCTGCGATCGTCTGCGATCAATTGCGATCGTGCGATCATATGAAAACCAAAGTTCTGCGATCTGCGATCGAAAAGTATCCCATAATATTTTGAATTCCGACCCATAATTCAACGCTTCTTTGCAACAAAGCAACCGCTTATTTGTTGTAAACATGGCTGGCGTTGAAAAAGGTAACGTTAGTAACGAGAAATTTATGGAGGAAGTTGTGCGATATCAGTGCGTTTACCACCGTAACAGTAAAGATTTCAAAGACAAAGACAAAAAG